TGTCGGCCTAATCCTGCCATCCTTCCAGGTGACCTCCTGGAACATGATCTTATCTCCTCTGAATTCCTAGACCTCTGTCCTCTGCCCTAGCCTCCCTGATGATCATTAGAAATTGGTTCCTGTAGTTTTCCCTTCAGCCTCATTTCCAGCTCCTTGAAGGCAGGGACCACTCTTGACACATGTTTGTCATAATTTTGTATTTAGCATAGAGAGCTGTACACAGTAGGTGCTCACTAAGTGTTTACTGAATGAATCAATCAGTCTTAGCATTCAGCAACACATTTGTTATTCACAGAGAAACAGAAAAAGAAAAACTGTATCAGTGAGGACTGGGGCAAATCTTCCCACTTAGAATGGCAAGTTTCCCTTTATGAATAAAATAATGTTAAAACAAAGCCATTCTAGAATGATCCTTGTGATAAAGGACTAGAGTTGGGGATTCCGTGGAGAAATGGCTGGTGATTCTGGGACTGGTGTAGGAAAAATACAAGATGATCCTGGAGTACCTTATAATATCAGAAAGTATGAAAGTGTTAAAAAGGGGGGAAAAAGCCCCACAATGATGGGAGTATAGCAAAAGGACACAAAAGCCAGCTGGACGGGCTTCCAATGGTCAAAGCTGGCATAATCTGGGCAACAAAATAAAGTGGTATTAGAATATACTATGAAGTAGTTAATAAACGAGCCCATGGATACAAATGACTGAATTAATAAGTGGAAGAGAACAGACAAATCTTTCCCGTAGAGAAGAATTCCAAATAATTTACCTCAGTACTCAGCCTTCAAGCAGGTGGAGCACAACTCCCTACTCCTTAAGTGTGGGCTGTGCCTATGGTTTCCTTCCAAACAGTATGGAAAGGAGGAAAAGAGTAACTTTATAGCGGAGAAACCTGACAAACAATACCTCAGCCAGGTGATCAAAGTCAACATCAGGAGTGCTAAGTTACCTTACAGCGTGTACTCCTGATGGGATGTGATGGGATGAAAATGGTGCTCAACCTCTGTGGTCCTCCTCTCAGAAACCTATAACCCGAGTCTGATGATGAGAAAAACATCAGGCCAATTCCAACTGAGGAACATTCTATAAAATATCTGATCAGTACTCCTCTAAACTGTGAAGCCATCAAAAATAAGGAAAGGGCTGTGAAACTGTCACAACTAAGAGGAACCTGAGGAGCCATGACTACTAAATGTTTTGTAGTACCCTGAATTGGGTCCTAGAATAGTAAAAGGACATTAGGTAAAAAACTAAGGAAATCTGAATAAAGTATGGACTTCAGTTAATAGTAAGTATCAATATGGGTTCACTGGCTGCAACAAATGTATCGTATTAATGTAAGATGTTAACAATAGAGGAAACTGGGCATGGAGTATATAGTATATAGGGATTCTCTGTATTATCTCTGTGATTTTTCTGTAAATTTAAACCTGTTCTAAAATTAAAAGTTGTTTTTTTTTTTTAATCAATGAAGCTATTACTTAGGTTAACTAAGTTGTTTAAGGGAGAGAGCATCCTCTGGGATTAGAGTGTGGGTATGTGTGCGTGTGTGTATATGCCTAACTCAAGTCCTACCCACTCTCCTTCAACTCACTCTGTACCTGAGTTCCTGAATTAGGTCTGGAACCATTTCTTCAACTCTAATTTTATAGAACAATAGAAATGTAATGCATGTGAGTCACATAACGTAATTCTAAATTTTCTAGTAGCCACATTTCAAAAAGTAAAAAGGAACAAGAGAAATTCATTTTAATATATACATTTTTTTAGTTTTAATAATATTTAACTCAATATATCCAAAACACTATCATTTCACTATGTGGCAACAGCCACATTTCAAGCACTCAGTAGCTACACATCAACATTATAGCTCCAGAGCCACATACGTTTTAAGCAAACCACAGCATTCATAAATAAAAGCAGATTTTTCTGAATCCTCTGACTACAGCCACTTTGCAAAGGCAAGAGAGAATCATGGAACAATGCTATGGCTTCTTCCATACATGGCCATGTCTAGATGGTGTCCAAAAGCCTCCAGGGCTTGGCATAACCAATCAGTTAGACTGAAGCATTTCCTTCCAGAAAGGACGCCTGTCTTGCCCCACCACTTCCAGTTCTCTCCCTGACTCTCTCTTTGATATCCTGAGTTCAAAGCCCCATTCCACGTGCACATCCTGAAGTCCCTAATCACTCATCTCCCCTCAAATGTAGGTGTTCATCAAGAGAGATTCACCCAACTCTAGTCTAGCACAGAAAGGAAGCAAAATTGAGGTCCAAGGTTCCTTTAAGAGTTCAACTAACATCACAAAGTCTGAGAAGCTGGGTCCTGACTAACCCTACAGCTGTTGTCTTCACCAGCAGCAGTATCTCTAGTGGCTAATTTATCATGTACTTTCTCTGGGGAGAAAAAAAAGTGTGATAGGGTGTTATATGCTTTGTTTCATTTGATTTTTACAACACTGTAAGGTTGAAACTATTATCCCGTACCCCCGATTTTCCAGGTAGAGGAGACAGGCTTAGAGAGGCTAGGCAACTTGCTCAAGACTGCACATCTAGTAAGCAGCAGAGCTGGGATTCTAAACAGATCTGATGCCATGTGTGAACTGTAATCAATTCGCCATAATGCCTTTCTTGGTATTTCTGACTATATCTACAAAATGATAGGCTTCACAACAGACCATTTATCTCTCTGTTCATGGTGAGGTAAGCAACTAATTGCAAAAGAACATTTTGTTTAAGATCCTTCAGGCAGCCTGCCTGAGTAACAGAACCTCTGCCCCTATGAGGTACCCCCCCACTTACGATTCATCATCAGAGGAAGAGAAGTGTCACAATTAGTATTAGCAATGGTTTCCACTCATCCACTGTCCTGACTTTACCACAGAATACTAATCATTAAAATCAAAGTTTGAATACAGTACCATAAGAATATTACTTAAGAAGGGACTGATCTATCTCATTAGTCCAATTACTAAAACTACGTAAAATTCAAACACTTTAGTCTAACAGGAAAGTTTTTTTTAATTGTTTAAAATGTATCACAGAATAATCGAATTTCTTTTCTAAAATAAAGTTTTAAAATTTCAATCTTTTCTATTCTCTTTGGAAGTAACACTTTAATACACTGTACATGCACAGTAGAGGCAGCACATTGTATATTGCACACACTTAGTTGCAATCAATCCTACCTACTCCGCTTCCATTTCAGTAAGTTAATATTTGGGGGAACAAACTGCTTTGGCTGAAAATTTTGCTCCAATTTTTAACCTTAACTCAGGTAAATTCTGGGTCAACCACCAAAGATGCCAGGAAGAGATTATAATTACTTTTATTCATACTGGTTTTTGCCATGGTTGTACATATTAATTTGTTAGTCCACAGATATACATCTGAAATTCATAACTACACAGATATATTTTTCATCTTTCTCTATTTATCAACTAGAAACATTATAAAATGAGCAAGTACAAGTAATTATTAAGAGGGAAACCACAGCATTTTCAAGAATTATTAGCATTTAATTATTGAAGTCAGTAAGCATTTTTCCGGTGCCAGTTACACAGTCTCCTCTCAATTCTCATGTAGCTGCTGTGTTTGGGCATTCCATTATACTGCACCTACAGAGAGTCAAGACTTTTATTTTTAAGGTACTTAATTCAAAGGTTTCCTTCTATGTGGTAAGAATGGTTACATTAAAATATAAAGGTAAGAAAAAAAATCGATTGTAACAAATCTGTTTTCTTGGAATTGGCTGTTACAACATTGCACCCAGGAATGATTTTGTTACTTTATAGAATAGCTTCCCAGTACAAAACCTATTAGCCCAAACAAAAAAAATGTTTCCTCAGCTAAAACTATCACAATTAAAAATGAGCAAAAATCCCACGGAAACCACAAATCCTGATATTCTGAGGCTCTGGGACTGAAGTCAAAGGAAGTAGTCTCCAACAACAACGACAACAAAAATCAAGATGATATTGGGCAGTGGAGGAAAGCAGAACTGAAGCGATGAGGCCATCAGCCAATTCGCCACAAAAATCTCCAAGGCAGCAGAGCCTGGTGGTATATGCTACCTTGGTTCTCTCCCCTTGTTCCCTCACTTGGACTCGTACACCTCTTTAAGACCCCATCCTCCACCTCCTCCAGAACTAACTGGGACTTCAGGAGATGAGTGGGGTGTAAATTCAGAGATCCTGGCTTGAAGCAAATGTCCCTATTAATAGAAAATAGGTGGGGGTAAGAAAAACAAAGCGGGGACTTCCCTGGTGGCGCAGTGGTTAAGAATCTGCCTGCCAATGCAGGGGACATGGGTTCGATCCCTAGTCCGGGAAGATCCCACATGCTGTGGAGCAACTGAGCCCGTGCGCCACAGCTACTGAGCCCACGTGCCACAACTACTGAAGCTCACGTGCCTAGAGCCAGTGCTCCGCAATGAGAAGCCAGCGTACCGCAATGAAGAGCAGCCCCCGCTCACCGCACTAGAGAAAGCCCGCGTGCAGCAACGAAGACCCAACGGAGCCATAACTAACTAACTAAATAAATAAATTTATATATTAAAAAAAGAAAAACAAAGAAAGGAAGAAAATTATTTACAAACACAAAAGTTTGGGGGGAGGTAGGGAAA